AGCTACAGTATCTCACTTTCCATTAGACACTCACACTAATGTGCAGGGGCAGGATTTGAGTTAATTCCACCTTTTTTCCTGGCAGCTAAAAATGGAAAGTTGTTTATTCCAATGAACAGATGCTTTCATGACACATAAACACACACAGACCATCAAATACACTCACAGGCACATGTACACACCGCCAAAGCATACACACACATACAGAGACCACCCATGGCTGTAGTGTGTGTGTGCGTGCTCTCGAGCAGATTCACAGCAAACAACCAAACTGCACACAGTGTGTGTGTTTCCCAGGAAGTGAGGCGGTGATCAGCCGAAGCTTCACACTCTGCCGTCTGACGTGACGTTTCTCCCTCCTGCCCGGAGACAAACTGAAAATATCCTCTGACTTTCTTCTGCAGAGGAGAAAATGAATGTGAGCAGCTTCGAAAGCGTTGGCGGAGACGTTGGATCGCTCAGTTGGGAGACAGACGAAACCACTTTTAGGCCAAACTGAACCTTTGACTTGCTCTTGCAAGCCTCAGGAAGTCTGTTTACACTGAGAGCACCTGTTGATTTAACTGACTTGTGTTTTAATTTATCCTTATTCAGCCTTTAAAAATATGGTTATTATCTCAGGTAGCCTCGAGAGACCAGTAACCGAGCACTAGAGAAAAGCTATAAATAATTTTCCTCCTATGCTTATTAAGTCAAGTTAGTCTTACACAATCAGGGTCAGCTTTTCACAGTATTAAAGCTACAGTATGTAACTTTTTCAAATATTTTTGTTGCAGAAATCTGGTCCAAAACGTGTCTTAATGTGAGACAAAGAGAGGGGTGCTGTCAATGCCTCCTGTGACCCAGACTCACTGAACAGCACTGGCAGCTGTTCAGAGATATTGCACATTTTAAATAGTGTGTGTTGAGATCTTTGCACCTATCTGTGAAGAATCCATCACGTCAACAGGTCAGACACTCCTCTGTGCACCTGTTGTGTTGTCCGCCCAACATAAATCATCAAGTGCACAAAGCACAACCTGTGGAAGCAACATTGGATTATCTATTAAATAAAGACTGTGCACTACAAATCCCAAAACAGACACATTTACAGCAAACTAAATATGATTCACTGTCATAGCTGCTTTAAACTTTAACTCAGCTTCTAATTGGATTGTTTTTTTTATGTCTGGACAGGAAACTATAAAGTGCACATTTAATAAGTTAAAAATACTAAGTAACATGGATTCTTACAAAACGCATTCTCACTCTTTGAAACAAACAGCTTGACACAGTTAAGCTAGCACGACATGGTACATAATTAACAAACAACGAGGAAAATATAACCTTACACGGAGTTAACCTCCGTGTAACATCTTTCAACCACTTACCGCTTGTAGCCTGTCTTTTCTAAAAAAAAAAAAAAAAGTCTGAAAACAACATTTAACCTACATTTCTTGTGGCTCAAAGCTCAAAGCTAGTTAGCTCACCTTTAACCGAGCGATATCACCATGGTAACAGACAGTACGCAGCATGACGTCCCGTCAACAGTCCGACCACTGTGGTAAAAGTAAATAAATAAAAATAAAAAAGTCCGACAACTGACCAATCACTGGGAAACCTGGCGTCAACATTCTACAGGAGCCTGACAGGGACACAACGTTCACGATAAAGAGCAAAAGACAACTTACCAGTCAAATCGTTTTGCTGTTCCAAGCTTCCCATGGGCTTTAAGACAGAGCAGCTAATGGTGGGAGAGTTTACCAGACTAAATACCTACATGATAACAACTTTAGCAGCGTTTACACTCTTATTCCATCACTGCAGCTCAGAATAACATGAGAAAGCTCTATGATATATATTGAAAATAAAACCTACACTGATGGGTGTCTTTTTTTAAATAAGAAAAAGAGCCCACCCACTGGTAAATACTTCCCATGGTTATAAATTAACATACGCAGATCAACCCTATGGACATTAAGTCTGTTCCTCCTCTTCTCTGCTCTGGCAGCAGAAACAGTTTGACCCTATTTACAACTTTTTGGATGTGCATCACACACTCAGAATTGTTTGTTCATCATCAGAGAAAGAACAAAAATGCTCATTCAGTAAGGCACAAGAAAGAACAAAAATGCTCATTCAGTAAAACATTGACTGTGGTCAATGTTTCACTGTGGAACATATGAGGTCACTAAAGTACTAGTGTGAATAATAATAAAAACGCAGTTCACAAAGGGGGCATATGAAACACTGGTCAAACAAGTCATATGGGTCATTTTGGAAAGGACGAACAGATGCTGTGCTTGTCAATTCAGATATAAGGAACTTTAGAACCAGAATGCTGGAATGTAAAAATACCTCCATCAGTGACATCTGAAGTTCAGCTTTGTTTGTTGTAGTTTTCTGGGCCGGAAATGCTTCTTAGCTTTAACAGAGATCAATGAAGTGTTAACAAACAGTTATAACAACCAGATGTGCATCTGCTCACTGCTGCGGGATTAACAAACTGATCCACTGACACTGTGCACAGTGTTCTAGTACAATACATTAACACTGTTTTGCACATGCATGTAGACAACATGAAGACAAACAAACACAAACACCCACCAACACAGACAGAAAAGCAATGACACACTTATCCACACACACACACACAGGCTGACTACAAAACAGCGACACATAGTCTCAGGGGAGATTTCCATATGCTTGCAGCACTGAACCATGAAAACTACGCTCACACCTTACAAACTAGTGATGAAAGTGATTCCTCCAGACGCTAATCAGGACCAAAATAACTCACTTGATCATCTTCTTTCAAAGGCCACGGGACTCACCAATACATGGACAGACTGACAGAATAAATGTAAGTTGACACCAACCTAGTTGTGTCAACAAAAAGAGAGGAGAAAAAACACAACACATTTAGACAGCTAGACATATGTAGGACATGGTTAATGATAGGGAGTACATTAAAATTAGAAAGAAGAGTAAGATGGGAAGAGGTGACTGAAGAACAACAAGATTAACACAGTTGTGGTGAAGACTTATTAGCCAATCTTGTTCAAGGGTTTTTTTTACAGTCCTCATTGCTAAACGCTGCTGACACCATCACTAAGGCAGCTACTACAGTTATTCTCATACTACTACTGCTGGTGTTACTGCTGACTTTACTGTGTAGGTTTCTGCCCACAGTCAAGCATACTGTAACTCTGGTCCAACTGAAATGATAAAACGTTGCAGCCAAAGTTCTTTTCATTGCTGACCAGAAATTAAAAGGCCTTTGGAGCCAATCCTTTAGCCTCCAGAACACAGAGCCAGCAGGATGCTTGACTGACAGCTGAGTCACTTCAGGCGCAAAAGAAAGTGTGAACAAATTTGAAAGACATGCCAAGCAGTGCTGATTATGGTGTGTGAAAATACAAATGTAGTGGGAAATTGCTCTTATTTTTACTATGCATTTTCAGTTTTTTATCTTATTTTCCCTTTGGTTTTGGCCTGGCCAGTTCCCGTCACGCTGCCGTCCATGCTTTTACTGTGCTAGAGAGGGAACTATCTCCTCTGACACACATGGATTTACCAGCTGCTTCTTTCCACCTACCTCTGAAAAAAATCCCTATAGTTCACGTTGTCACTGTAGATTTCCCTTCCCCTCTCTGCTCAGTGGGAACAGCAAGTGCAGTGACAAGGACATGATCCCTCACTAGCGTCCCATCTGCCAGCCATGTGGGAGGGGGAGCACAGCCAAGACAGAAGCGATACAGTGCACCCAGAACTCTCTGGTTGTGGGTAAATGAGTTTCAGCAACCACCTCTGAGCCCCTTCCTGCTACCAGAAACATATTATTTACACTGTAACCAAGAGTGGCCCATGAGGCTTTTCTGCCTTAAGGGCAAGTTACTAGTGCTACGTCTTACTAAGTTTTGATTCCAGCAGTAACTTCCTTCAATAAGCTCCTTATAGGTTTACTGTCTGTCACACCTGCAGTGGTCCAGTCTTCCTCCCTTTCTGTTCCCTCAAGTTCACTGTCACAGGGTGTCTCTAAGCTCATGTGAATATGAGTAAAACTGGTAAAGCCATCACTCAGCACTAGTTTATGTTACATCTTATATACAGTATATATATTTATATGAGTTCCTCCCCTCCCCTCTCTCGTCTCTCTCCATGCATATATATGCCACCATTACATGTCATTAACTTTGTGTCCTCTCTCTCTCCCTGTACCTTTCTGCAGGTTGCCCTGGCTCTGGAGCTTTATGTTTCACAAGATCAGTCACCGGCCACATCAACCTGATCAGTGTTTGATTGTTGTGTCTTGTTTGTTGTGTCTTGTTGCTTTTCTTTTCTGTTCTCTCTCCTCTATCCACTCACCCAACCGGTCACGGCAGAAGGCCGCCCACCAAGAGCTGGGGTCTGTTGGAGGTTTCTTCTGTGAAAGGGAGTTTTTCATTTCTAGGTTTTCAGTGATTACTGGGACAAAAAGAGATCATACTACTTGACAGGCACATGCTTCGCTGCTTGAAAGGACGTCTCGCCTCCATCCTTGCATCACATCCCCCTTGCAACTGATTGGATTGTTTACAGAATGCCTTTATGTCATAATGTATTTGCAAGTGTAAAGAAAAAGTATGGTGAGTATCTTGTGCCTTTAACAATGTCAAATTTCCAGTTTGTGTGTTTTATGATATGCACCCTACAATTATATAAAAAGCTGGTAAATAACTAATATTAACAGACAAAAAAAGGTTTGGCTTAAAAACACAAAGAAATATAATAAATGACGTAGATATATCGAAGTGTTGCTGCTTCTTAATGACACTTGTACTGTTATCACCACTGCTGCTGTTGCTGTTGTTACTGCTGTGGCAGAAAATGGGTCTAACAGAGTGGAAAACCAAAGCAACAAGCTGAAAGAGGCTAAAACGCTATGTTTCGTAGAGTTGGATGATAACGGCCTGTAATGCCGGCACTGCTACAACACAGTACATGCTGTAAAACAAGGTGCACAGACAGACAAGTGGTTCTATTCATATTTATTTGAAAACAACAATCCATTTTTTCCACTTCTACCGCGATTCCTTGTTGCAGCTGGGGTCATACATTATATTTGTATTAATTCCACGGAACACCATCACAAAAGTTACCCTTTTATATGCACGTTTACCTTTTTTTGTCTTTTTTTTGTATGGTTGTCATTTTTATACAATGACTTGTGCTTTGATATCTTTGAAAGAGAGAAAGATTTTTTTAAAGACATCATTGTCATCATGATAAGTCTACATAACAAAGGGAGGATCGAAATAGAGGAAAGATGTAAGAAGGGGATATACTTGTCAAATACACACTGATACAGAATACAGAGGTACACACTCACATCGGAGCCTGCCCGACTCCACCCAGAACTGTTAGAGCTGTGTCACTGAAAGTCACCACGACCTCCAACTGCCCCCCTCTTCTCCTGATTTTAGGATTTTTAAATATGCTATTGTTGCCTTGCAACAAACACACTCCCTGCTGGTGAGCAGAGTTTTGGCTAAATATTGCTTAGCTACAAAAGGGACATCCAGGACAGGAGGAGGGAGGACAGAGGGGTCAAAAAAGCCTCAGGGTCACAACTGTTCAAAGTATTATTATTATGTTTCAGACAGCCTCAGGGTTCAGAGCACAGAGCTCCTCTTACACACGTCTACTGGAAAAACTGATCAGAGTCCTGGGGCTTTCACATAAGAAATATAAGGTGCATTTGTCAGAGTGCTTTTGTGTGTGTTTGTACGAGTCCCCAGAAATTAAGCCATTAAATAAGAGCTTCTGTGGGTTGATTGCAATGGCCACAATGTGCATCAATGCCAAAAAACGTATGTATCTCTCAACGGGGTTGACTGGGTATTTACATGGAATGGAATGTTTCCCTGTTTACTGTACGTATCCAGTGAATAAAACCCTTTATTCATTCAAGAAAAGTCATGTGAACGAGTGTGAGACTACTTTTAATCTGCACATTATTAATATCGGGTGTAGGGGGCGTATGGAGGAGGGGGTGTGAATGCCACGGTGCAAGAAGGCATGTTCGTTCACTTAATGCTGAGAGCGAGTCTGTGCCTCATGAAAATCAAAAGAAAAACAGGAAATAATACCACAAAAGGAAGTAGAAACACAAACAGGGAGAGGCGAAGAGCAGTCGAGAAAATGTACAAGCAAAATGACCATAACCTCTAATGTGAATTCCATTCTAAATGTTAAGTGCATATAGATAGATAGATAGATAGATAGATAGATAGACAGATAGATAGATTCTTTATATTGTATGTATCCATATGCTGGGTAAATATTCTGGTAAATCTTACTTCTATGTGTATATACCTCCAAGTAGAGGGGGCTCACTTAGACGTATATAAATAGGTCTAACATATAAAGCCATATTACAGTGTACATATCTTCGCCCTAATGTAAGCGATAGCAAAAACCCATGCTTTACATAGAAAAAGGCATCCACGACATTTAAGAAAAAATGTACAATTTATGAAACATGGTAACAATAATAAATAGTATTATAGAATTGCTGCTGTACACAAAAAAGCCATTCTTTAAATTTCACTCATATAAAAATACGTTTTAGTGCAACCATACATAATAGTAATATCCATAACTTCACATCGCTTGTCAAGACTTTTAAGGTGTCCAAAAACAAAAACAAACAAACAAAGATAAAGAAACACAGGAGGTCAGGGAAGAAAAAAAGGGGCAGGAGGACCGGGTGGGGGTTGCATTGATTACAAAGCTGATACACAAAATGTGATAGAACTGTATTTACATTTACCTTCCTGCTTTGTTTGCTTATAAGAACATAAGCAAAAAAACAAACAAACAAAAAAGAACAAAAAAGGCACACACGTAACTGCCGTACCGTTTAACCACAGCCCTGTTGTTGTGTAACAGATTTTGGTCAGGCTTGTGTTGCTGGGAGTCGCCATGTGTAACTGAACACCAAACCTCAAGGTCTCTGGTAGCAGGCCCCGGTTAGAACAGACATGCTGTACACGTACATGGACTGAAGACGTCCGTCTGAGATTTAGTCTTTTTTTGACGAGAGCTGTTTCTTTGTATGTGTTGTACAGTATGCGAGTGAGAGAGGGTGTGTATTTATTGGCTGAAATAGAAGAAATGTGTGTGTAAAATGTGCAAAAGTTATTTTTCTCTCTCTGTTGCACTTCATCCCTTCCTATTATCCAAAAACAAAAACAGAAATCCAACGTTTCTCTTGTTCTTCTCCTGCAGAACTATGACACGTCTTTGTTTCTTTTTGTGCTTTCTGCCTCCTTGTCTCTCTCCAGCTTGTGAGGTTTGGACACTGTTGGAGGCTGGAGGGCGTCAGATCCAGGGCTCGGAGGGTGAGGGGAGGTAGAAGAGGAAGAGTGGGAGGAGTGAGGAGAGCCAGGGATGGAGGGGTGGGGAGGCCTGAGCTCCAGGCTGCTAAAGTGCTGTATCCTGGGACCTTGAGGTGGAGACGGCGAGGGGTGAGAAGGGGGTGACATGGAGAAGGATGGTGAGCGCTGCTGTTGTTGTTGGGAGTCGGGGGTCAATAAAGAAGGAGAGGAAGAGGAGGACAGAGCTCTGCCTCCATCTTTCCCTTCGTCCCCTCTGCTTCCTCCTCCTCCCTCAGCGGGCTCCTCTGAGTCAATGTAGAGCGAGGCGATGGCCTTGGTGCAGGTCTGGATGCTCTCCTCCTGCTCCTGCCTCACTCCTCTCCCTTCCTTCTCCTGCAAGGAGGAGTGAGGCGATGATGACTCCCTTACCCTCTCTCCTCCTGCTCCTCCTCGTCCTACCCTCTGGGTGACGGAGGTGAGACATGGGGAAGCAGCTTCGCTGGTGATGGAGTCCTCTGACGTGCTCTTCTGCAGCACCAGGCGGGACGCGGCCTGCTGTGCCCCCTGCTGGGCCAGAGGGGTGGTGACAGATGTGGGGACGGAGTGTACCATCTGGATCCCTCCAATGGGGATCATCGGGTAGGGCGAACGCACCTGAAAGTAAAAAGGATTCAAATTAACTCTGCTGACCCACATACTCACTAGCGTGCCCAGTGTGTATTAATCCGCCACTGAAAATAGTCCTGAGCAGATGCACTATTTACCCCTGTTTGAGTACCATTTACTTACGGAGTCCTGTAAAAAATTAAACTATATATTTGTGAGTGGTTTTTAAAGATATTTTCTGTAGGAACCAATCAGCTCGAGGCTGAGGACCAGGCATGTGGGTAATGAAGTGTTTTTTTTTTTATGGAATTTGTTGACAAATATCCTTTAGTATAAGAAAATGAGAATATTTAAGGAGCAGATGAGCAGAAAACAAATAACTGTATTAACAAATAATCACTGTATTTTTTTTCATTGGGCAGATTTATTTAGCTCATTTTGCTCCAATATGTCAGTAAAAAGATTTAGTTGTGCTGGTAATAATAATATTAATGATAATATGTAATAAAGTATAGTTTTATAATACATCCTTCTTTATGTATTTACAAAAGAGTGAAGTATGTAAAACAGCCAAAAAGCTCAAAATAAAACCAAATAATTCAATCAAATACAAAAACACCACAAATTATAATAATATTAAATGCAAAACTTAAGTATACAAAATAAAAAAGTAAGTTTAAACATATAACCTTAAAGTAAAATAAAGCAAGATATACAAGGTTTAAAAAAATAAAACACATTTAAAATAATGACCTGAAGTTGAGAATGGAGAGGGAGGTGACTAAACAGGCCTTGGTGGGGCGGGCTAGATTGGTTGCCACGGCTACCAGCCTGGTCCCCTGGTAAACCTGGAAGATGTTCCTGGAAACAGGAGAGAGAAGACAGATGTGCGCTCACTGGACAGCACTGGTTACAGTAAACACACATCTGAGGCTCTGTGATGGAAAAGCTAACAATATGTAACAAAATAAGTTAATAAGCCCGATGAAAAGTGTAGAAACACACAAAGAGAAAGCACGAAGGCTCAGTCGAACGTCTTGATGAAACATGCATCTGTCATCTGAGGAACGGGGAGTTATCAAAGCTGAGTCTCACAGCTTCACACTTTACGTGGGGACCAGCAGCATAAGCCAGAGTTTGAAGTGGAGCTCTTCAGGAGAAAAACAGCCGCGCTGTTAACCACACCGCCGCCAGCCAAGATCCCATTACTACCAAAACCCAGCAGCCCTATCCTCCATCATCCTGCTCTCTAACGGCTCTTTATTCTCTCATCCTCTCTGAATGTTTCTGCTCGCTCTGCCAGACGGCTGTCTTCCCCTGCTCTGTCCTGTTCCTCCATCTTCCTAGTCCTCACTTAGGGTTTTCCACTTCAAACCCACAGACCGAATGCCAGAAAGTACAGAGAATTACTGCAGCTCCTGAACGTTAATGTAGTCTATTTGTAGTATTTAAAGGGCAAAAGCTTGAAATATGTTAAAACAGACAATAAATACATTAGTGTTACAATCCCAGACTGGGCGTAAGACTAAAAACTGTACAAATAAAAGCTACAGCAGCAAAACAAATAAATGTTAAGAGAATAAAGTGAAAAATAACGGGTTAAGACAAATGGAAATGATAAACGGCAGAATGTGAGATGAAACATCCAAGGACTAAACTCGGTCGGACTCTTACCATCTCCATATCTGCGCCAGTTCTGTGATGTCCCAGAGGGCCAAACTCTTCCTGAGGCTGATGACTTGGCTTCAGGCCCCGGGCTCCAGTCTGCTGGCTGTAGGTCACAGCAACACAAACACCACATTAAATCTGTGTAACTTGAACAATGACAGTTTTTTGGAATAAAATACAATAAGTTACACTGAAGGGCTGTGGCTTCTTTTCTGGGTCTTACAGTATTACAGAATTGTTTAATGATGTACAAAGTTAACAGCAGTTTAATTAGCAACTAACCACAGCTGGAAACTAATGTAGTAAATAGACCTGCATCTGTCTGCTGTTTGCAGCTGAGTGGGTCGTGCAGCAGAGGGGAGGTCACGACACCTACACAATGTCCTGACACCTGCTAAAATACCCCTGTAAAGATGATTCATCAGCACTACCGCTTTAACATCATCACATTGTTTTCATATGGCAATTTGATATTATAATTGATTTGTTGATATAAAAGTCTAGAAAACGTGGACTCTAACATCAAAATACTCAGAGTATGATAAAAATGGCCACTATGAACATAACCAGTGAGACACTCATTCACACAGTCCACCAGGTCGCCCTCGACTCACCTTTGATGGTGGAGGTGTTGGTGGAGCCCTCGGCGAGGGGAAACAGGCCAGATCATCCCTCTGTTGCGGCCTCGTGGTGAAAGGTCACGCTTGTAGTCTCTTCCTGCTGGAGATATGGGTCGAGAGAGCGGGGAGAGCAGTGAGAGGTGTCCCCTCCTGGGGGACAGGTCTCGGCGGTATCCCCCTGCCGCCCCGAGGTCTCTCTTCGGGGAGATGTGACGGAGAGGTGAGATGTCCCGCCGGGGCGAGAGGTGTCCAGCACGGGGTGAGAGGTCACGACGTGGGGAGAGGTACCGGCGGGCTGAAGGTGAGGAGGAAGGGGAGATGGGTGACGGGCAGCTAGAGTGGTCCAGCCCAGGTGAGGACAGGCGGGAGGAGGAGGAGGAGAGGTCTGGAGAGGGGACAGGAAGGTCTTCATCCATGGAGGAAGAGGGTGGAACCAGCAGCCTGCTATCCATTGCCCTCTGTGGGCTTCGCTGGTACTCTGTCTGACTGCGCTCTCTCCTGGCCGGGTCGCTGGGCGGAGCCTGCGGTGTGATCTGGATACTTGGCACGGTGGTGAAGTAACCAAAGAGTGGAGGCTTGCTGGCGTTACCCAGGAGGTCGGACGCTGAATGCTGAGACAGGTGAGGAGCAGAATGGGAGGCAGCCACAGCTGTGATCGACAGGGAAGGCAGGCTATAGGGCTGTGGGCTGGTGGAGCGTGAGCGAGTCTTTGGAGTTGAGTCGCCGTCGTAGTCATCATCTTCATCATCTTCATCATCCACCTCATCGCCATCTTCCTCTCCACCCTCTGAGTCATCTGCATCTGAGAACTGGTGCTCTGCCATTACACGGCCGGAAATCTTCTCAGAAGACTTCTGACCTTCCTCACCGACATCTAGAAGAGAAGACAAGGAAAACAGAGGAAAGGAAGAAGAAGAGAGAGAAGCCAAAGATGAGGAAGAAAGTAAAAAAGGAGAGGAAGAACAATGGAGAGTAAATAAACCAGAATAAAAAGAAAAGAATCAAATTGAAGAAACAGAAGAAGAAAGAAGAAAAATGCAGTAGAAGAGAAAGTAGAGGATGAATAAGGAGAAGAGAAGAAGAGGAAATGGAGGAGCAAGAAAAGGAAGAAAGAAATATTGAGAAAACATGAGAGGAATTAAATTGTGTTAACAGATTAAGTTTCGACGTGAACTAAAAACCCACTAAAATCGTGTTCCCAACAGCTCCACCCAATGAAACAAAAGTATATGAGACACGCTGGGTTTTCTGACTCCAGACAAATGTTTGCAGCATCTGGTTGTACAGTAGCTGCAGAAGTTACTGTTGGGAGGTCACCATTGCTTTGACTTGATTATAAAAAATAGCTGATTGGCTGATAACTGAGTGAAACAGAAAAAAGTTGCTGTGACTCTTCACAGTAAAGAGTCAAAGTCAAAGATGGAAACTATTTTCGACCTGTTCAGCTTTTCAGAAGAGTTCACCTGGCCAGAAACCAAAGCTACAAACATTCAGATATTATCCCCTCGACTCTGCTTCCAGCTTTGTTGCTGTCAGTTTGATCTTGTTCTCCTAGACTTGCTCCAAACACAGTGTAGAGAAGCAGCAGTAAGTTCTATTTAAACCGCTATGAGTGGAAATCAGATCCACTAACACTGGACCGCTTTTCCACTCTGTTACATATACAACAGTTTGCCGCAAACCACAAATGTTTAAGTCAACCCGCTGACTGAATTTCTGCAGCTCTCGGCCCCTATTGCGCATTTGGGGGCTGTGCCCCATCTAAACATGGAGCCAACACACACATCAGGGGAAGTAAAATTTTATTTTGGGGTCTACATGTTGGGAATTACCACAGTCACAGTGGTACAATATATATTAATTCATCCACTTAGGCAGCCTTGATTTGAGTTTGTCTGACTAACCTCATGTTTATTCTGAAACACTTGTTCACAGAGAGTTAAAGTAGTTTTTAGCCCCCAGAGTTCCCTGCCTAGGACCACTGGAACTTGCTGCATTGTATTTTTGAAACAATGATTTTAAAGATCACCTACAGTACAGGCAAATAGTAGCTCAGCAGTAAAAACACATAGCAGTCCATTCTTGCCAGAAAAAAACAAAATACAATAAATCTTAAAAAAGATAATTAAAATAAATTGTGATTTGTGACATTAAATGTTATATTCATAGCATTATTAAGTATCAAATCATCTGTTAACTGTATTTTGCTGGTCAGTATGGTCACTGCAAACAACCTGAGCAGGTGGCCCAGGAAGTCTTACGTCTCTAAATTTAACCAACAGGTTAATTTACAAAAAGCAACTAAATACTGTATGCTCAAAGAAAATGATAATATTTGCAAATTAGTGATGCTAACTCCAGCATATGGCTCACAGTTTGTCTCATATAAAATCTGACAACAATACTGGAGACCAAAAACAAAGACAATGTCAAACTTTTTTGCTGTTAATAGTGAAAACTGAAAAGAATACAAAAATAATTCCACTAATTTCCTGCTTCATTATCAAGTCATCAAAAGATTAACGGGACACTGAACCTCACTCATCTGTTCAGAAGCTGCCACAGCCTCGAGAGACGGCTGAAGAGAATTTATTACTTGTGAATATTTCATGGGAAATCACATCCAGCCCTCGCAGCCCACAACATCTTCCTCAGTAGTAATTTTCAGATTATTTCATAAAGCTGATTAATGGGATGGTGCACGCCTCGGCTCACACTGACGAACCCCACTGTGCCGGCAGTCAGACGCAATGAGCAGTAAATATTTGTTGCTATTTCTGAGTAACTGGTGGAAAATAAAATTGCGGCAGTAAAATTGTTCCTGGAAATGTACATGGGAATATTTTAATGTAATAAGAGCCTTTTTCTGTTTTTAAGGTGGTTTGTGTGCTCTTAAAGATCATCTACAGTACAGGCAAATAATAGCTGCTTAGCAGTGGTCGACAAGAATCCTGGCTGTCAGGATCAGCTCTGCTTTCCATTACACCGCAGGCCACCCTCAACAGGATGGACAGACATCGTTGCAAGACCTGAAGTGTGTGTGTACAGTATATGTTATGGCCTCCTACCTCCTTCGTCTGCCTCAGTGTCTTCAACCGACGACATGGAGACTCCCAACTCCAGACACTTTTTCATATGAGCCTTTGATTTCATGTGCTTCGTCAAGTTTCCTACAGAATACACACGTGCAAACAGACACACACACACACACACCATTTAATGACCCCGACCAGAGCTTTAATGACCAGAGCTTATTTTGCGGCATCAACACAAGAGTTATTAGGAAGACAGTGAAATGGAAATAGAGGTAGTGGAAGAAAGAGCAAGACCACAAAATTACAATTTAGAAATTATATATAATTTATACATAAAGTAATTTAATGACAAAATTACTCAGCCTTGCCTGAACTCTGCTTCAATTCATTGAATACACTGCAGGATATGGGGCGTACACTGTGTAAAGTAGTTTGATAATCCATCAGGCACATAATGGCTTTTTATTAAAGATCAGATACCAGTGAGCTCTTCAGCCTCTGATGTGATGGTGGTTCCTGTCTGACCACAGCTGCAGAAAACAGCCACTCTGCATGTTCATTCAATCATGTAAAGGTACATAAGATTTCACACAGTGTCTGATAACCCCAGTGACAGTGAGACAGGACGTGGTGTCTCCCAACTACACCCCCCCTCTATGACCCTCTGCTGCCTACAGCCTCCTGTTGTTATTCCAGCTTCTCCACCCTGTGTTGTCAAAGTAGTCATGTCAAACAGTCATGGAGGAGCTCTGGGCAGCTAAAAGTCTGAACCAGAGTGAAGAGATGGCATCTTTTTCACTGAGAGAGTGGGACAAAGAAAGAGCAACAACAACCAGGGTTAACATGGGTTTGGCTGTTTGACATGGAGAGGGTTAAAAGCAGCCAGAGGACTCAGACTGGATTCAGATGTGGCCTCCTTCCTTCTGGATGTGTTAGCATCTAAAGCTAACAGTTTGTTTTGGTAGCATTAGCCACCTAGCATGGTCAGGAGTTTACCTTTGTGTTGAATTAATATGATTTTAACTTGGGAGGAACTGGAGCTTTGTGTAACATCAGTAACCAGAGCTTCTACTGGACTGACACATTTACTGTTAGCCAGCTAGCGCTAGCTTCAGACTGGAGGCTGTACTTTATACAGTTTGTCCCAACCAGGCATCTGTAGTTTATGTCTTTAGGAAACAGGATATGATGGGAGGGGCAAAGAGCGGCTTGGAATAGCTGGTGGTGTCAGTTTGTTTTGAGCTTTACTAGATCCTCTGGGCTGAATAGACATTAGGTTGAGTGGCTTTAACCAGTCAGTTCCACTGAATAGTTTGGAATTTGGATTCTTTAGCCCCAGTGTTGAGTTGTTCTAATAAAAATCTTTACACATATAAATACTTGTGTTTAACAGAAGGTTTTTGTAGCGCATTATGATTAAAATTGTTTTTCACATAATTATAAAAAATGTATTTTACTAAACTGAACATAGCATAAAAAGAAAGTCACTTTCGGCTTTTCCCGTTTAGGGGTCGCCACAGCGAATCATCACACTGACGACTCGCATGTTGACATTTGGCATGTGTTTTACGCCAGATGCCCTTCCTAACGCAACCCTGATTCGAACCCAGGATGCAGTGGCGAGAGCGCTGTGCTTTAACCACTAGCCTACCAGGGACAAAGTGAACATAGTATAACTAATGTTAAATTAGTTAGTTAGTTAAATTAGTTTGGGGCGGCTGTGGCTCAGGGGGTAGAGCGGTTGTCTCCCAACCAGAGGGTTGGAGGTTCAAATCACGGTGCCTGCAGTCCACATGTTGAAGTGTCCTTGGGAAAGACACTTTGCCCCCAATGATTAGAGCCATCGGTGTGAGCTGGCACCGCAGATGGCTGCCTCGGTTCTGTACCGGAAACAAATTCCTTGTGTGTAACATACACTCCCCAAATAAAGGTGGTTATGATTATTATAATATCTGGCTATATAATGGTCCCTACAGCCAGAAAATATAAGTTAAAATATAAGTCAGTGCCTGCCTTGCTTTTATCCTTCCATACAGGAAGATAAAGAACAGAGAGTACAAATGAAGCCCTACCTTTTGTTTTGAATGCAAAGTTGCAGAACTTGCAGACATACGGTCGGACGTCGGTGTGTGTTCGGATGTGTTTTTTCAGCATGCTGGGTTTCTTGCAGCGGATGCCACACTCCTCACAGATGTATTTCCCTCGACCACGACCACGAACATAAACATAGTCTTCATTTGATTTATACCTGGAAGAAAGAACAAGTAAGAGTGTTGGTGTGTTTTTTAACTTAGTTTCTTTCTTTCTATAGCATTAGTACAGATTATTTGCAAAACACTGATAGAATGTTATAGAATATTTATAATTTCCACTAAATTCAGAGGTATACTGTATTTCTCCTGCACTGAGAGGTCAGCTGCTACAGATTCACTGTCAGGCTCAAGGACACAGATGCTTGCTGACACAGAGGTTCTGCCTAAATTAGGTTTTCTCTGCTCAAATGCATCTGTGAGCATCAGAGATGACAGGGCTCAGGGAGTCTGATATTAACCTGGATGCACTGCATACTGTATAGTTTGACAACAACATGCTGCAAATTAGAAGCAACAAAATGTTATTTAGAATAAGAAAAGGATATCAGCTATTTAATTTGGACAGAAAATGCTTTGGATAATACACTAAAATGCATCCTAGGTCTTAAGGGAAAAGTCAGGATCCATTTCATGGAGCTGTTCTTTTGTTGTTCTTGTCCATTTCATTATAAAACCATGGATGTACATGTTTTTGATATTTCACAGCTCCTGCTAACGTGTCAGGGTGCAATGACAGAGGAGCTGGAGGTGGTTACAGACTCCAAACACCTGGGAGTCCAAGTGCACAATAAGCTGCACTGGTTCATAAATTCAACGGTGCTCTGGAAAAAACTTTAACTGAAGCACCGTGCTGCAGATGTTGTATGAGTCTTTGGTGGTTCTGCTGTGGTTTGTCCACAGGGGTGGACATGCACAGACTGGACAAGTTAATCGGGGGGCTGGCTCTGTTCTGGACCCTCTACATGTTGTAAATGAGAGGAGGATGTTGTCCTGACTCCTCTCAGCACTGGACAATTCCTCCCACCCACTACATGGTGTAACAGCTGGACAGAGGAGCAGGTTCAGCCAGAGAGTGATGACTGCCAAGTGCTCCAGCGAGCGCTACAGGAGATCCTTTCTCCCAGCAGCCATTGAACTTTACGACTTCTCCCACTTCTGCAAGCGGGAGGGGGAACTAAGACCAAAGCTGCACTGAAACTGGGCATCATGCTATCCCTGTCTTGTTGCTTATAACGTTTTAAGTATTTAATTCAATATCACTGTGCAAACCACTACTCTCAAATCTATATATCGTATCATAACATCATCACACCTGTTATTTGCACTGTAAACTTACTTTTTGTCATCACTATGTTGCAGTGAACCTCTGTCCATCATCATAATCACTTGTTACTGTGTCTCTCCATCATTACCCCGTCCATTGCACTGCATATCACCACTGTCTATGATAGACAGAAT